TGATGTGAATATACAATATATATGTAAAGTGCTGCATAAACTGACAGCGCTATATAAGTACCTGAAATAAAATAAATAAATGTAGTTGGTTGAATAGGTTAGCTGGGCAGATTTAAGTATTGGCAATTTACAAGTATAAATAATATAGTTGGTTTTACATAACTTTTATTTAAATAAATATATTTTATTATTATGAATTTGGGCTTTCATGAAAACGGCTGTTGGTTTCCGTATGTAAAAAGGTTTGCGTTATTATGGGGAATTAGAATGGGCTGCAATTGTACTATTATTATTATTATACAGGATTTATATGGCGCCAACAGTTTGCTCAGCGATTTACAATATAAAGGGAGACAATACAGCAACAATACAGTTCAATACAAGAGGGTTAGGAGGGCCTGATCCTTGGAGCTTACAATCTAAGAGTACTATAAATAAGTGTCTGTTTAGTATTTGCAATGCATGTGCAGTTATGACATACAGTATACTGTGTCCACAAATGCGTAATGTAATGAGCCTCCTGTATACTAGGCACTTCCGCCCTTTTTGTTGATCATTTTAACCAATTGCCCTCCAGAGGATTTACCCCCCCCCCCCTTTCTGACCAGGCCATTTTTTGTGTTACGACGCTTTATTTTGTCTGAAAATTGCGCGGTCATGCAACGCTGCACCCAGATGAAAATTATGTCCTGTTTTTCACCACAAATAGAGCTTTCTTTTGGTGGTATTTGATCGCCTCTGCGTTTTTTATTTTTTTGTGCTATAAACAAAAAAAGACGGACAATTTTGAAAAAAAAAACAACAATTTTTCGACTGTTTGCTATAATACATATCCAGTAAAAAAAAATTTTAAAAATCACATTTCGTCATAATTTATTTTCGTCATAATTTATTTATATTCTGCGATGTCTTTGCTAAAAAAAAAAAACAATACATGCAAATTAATTAGTTTATGTGAAAGTTATAGCGCCTACAAATGGCAGTATATATACTAGCACTTTTTGTTTTTAATACTAGTAATGGTGGCAATCAGCAACTTTTAGCGGGACGATGGCGGGCATTCTGACACTGGGGGGGGGGCTGACTAACTGCCACTGACATCCCAATGACACTAATACAGTGATCAGTTCTAATAAAAAGTACTGTACTAATGACACTGGTCAGGAAGGGGTTAACATCTGGGACGATCAAAGGGTTAATTGTGTGCTGCATTGTGTTTTACTATGGAGACAAGCTGCTTTGTATTGCTCTGCTGTTCGTGACGGGGGGAGAGATCTGACACAGGGGGACAGATCTGTTGTTTACACACAGATCTCTTCCCTTTCACTGTTCCTCGGCGATCGCTGGGTGCCAGCGGGAAATCTCTGGCCGGGACCCAGTGATCGACAGCTGCAGCCGCCAATGGCTCACGCATGCCCCCTACCCAGCAGAAATGCAAAATCACATGTATATACACAAGATTTTGCACAGCCCTGCTGCCTTGTAGCAGTAGTTCTGCTATAGGGCAGCGAGGAACCAGTTAATACGGCTGAACTTCCACGCAAGTCAGGCACAGTGGTATTTATCTGGTTGAGACATGCTCCCAATATTGGCACGTGTGATCATCTTTACAGGTTTGGGAAGTTTATCCCCCACTCGCTCACATCACTGTGATTCTACCCTGGCAACTACTATTCTGCCACATGCTCATCCACCAACCCTTGCTGTCATCATTCTTCCCTGCCCCCTCACTACTCTACAACTCCCCACATTCTTAACACATTGCCACCCTTCCTGCTCTCACCACTCCGTCACACCACACACACTGGGCACCCTCCCTTACAACTGCGACATGCTCTCACCACTTGATCCTCTTTTCCCACCCTGCTGCACAACCTCCACTCTACACACATTCCTCTCCCCCCATTTCTTCACCACTCTATGTCCCCCCCATCTTTAACACTTTTCCCCTCACCCACCCTCAATCAATTTAATTGTAATCATTTCATCAGTGCATTCTAAAGCAGAACTTGAGTGAAAAAAACCTGCATGCTGTGGGGTTAATTTACTAAAGACAAATAGACTGTTCACTTTGTAAGGGCAGTTGAGCTTTGCATGGGAATTTTTTCACAGAGCTTAGTGAATGAGGTAAAGCTGTGCTGACTTCCATCATCCAACCATTTTTGAGCAAAAATGCTTTTTTCCCCTACACATAATTGGGTATTCTACGCAAAGTGAAATTTCACTGCATCACTAAGCTCTGGGTAAAATGTCTTTGTAAAGTTCAATTTTGCTTGCGAAGTGTACAGCCTATTTGCTAGGGTATCAACCCCAATGTCTCAAACGCCAAGTGCATCCCAAGTGCTGAAGCAAAGTCACATTACTTTAGTGGGCAGTGTTTGATATTCGCCCCTTCATGCCACTTTAACAAAACTCATGTGTACAGTTCCAAGAGGAAAACATTGTGAGCTGGCACACAACGATCCTCAACGTGTCCAAATGGTACCACTGGGGCAACAGTTGGTGTTTCAATGGTCAGGGAATAGGTTTTCTTTAACCTCTTCCAGTCTAGCCCATATCAATAAATGGCCAGCCGGGAGCGTTGCCGTTTCGAAACCCCCCCCCCCCCCCGCATCCACTGCCTGTGCATGCTCCCTGGGAGCGCGCGGCACTGCGATCGGTGCCCGCTGTGTCCTCCAAATGCAGCGGAACACAGATCGCTGTACGGGACATCTGTGTGAGGTCCCGATTCATATGATCACTTATTGGCCAATCAGCAATCCCATGAACAGTAGTAAACAAGATGTCACTTCTGACATCATTGCTTACTACGTGTGAAATCTGTGAATGATCAAAGAAGTCACATGGTACAAGGCTATTCACAACAGCCTTGTACCATGTATCAAGCTGTGACCAATCACAGCTTTCACAGTATTTCTCAATGGCTGCAGGAATGCAGCACAGAGAGGAGAAATTATTGCTTTTACAGCCTTTATGGGTGTAAAAGCAATCAGTGTAAAAAAGAAAAAAAAAAAATCTTCATTACCCCCCACAAGTAGTACAGTGTCACTATGGTGACACTGTACTGCTAGGGTGATAGTATTTAAAAAAACAAAAACAAAAAAAAAACAATAAATAACAAAGAAATAAAATAAAAATGTAAAATACATTTCGAAAAATTATAATTTTTGGTTATAAACTAATTTGGGTAATTTTTTTTTTACTAAAAAGATAGATGAATACATTTTGGCCAAGATTTATGAAGAAAGATTATTTATTTACAAAATTACAACAGAAAACCCCTTTTTTAAAAAATGTTTTGGACTTTTTCATTTATATAGAAAAAAATTAAAATTCCAGTGGTAAATAAATACCACCAAAATAAAGTTTTATCTGTCTCAAAAAAATGCTAAAAATGTATATGGGTACAGTGTTGCATGACCGCTCAATTGTCATTCAAAGTGTGATAGCACTGAAAGCTGAAAATTGGCCTGGACAGGAAGGGGGTGAATGTGTCCAAACTTGAAGTGGTTAATAAGCGCTTATTATAGTAGGTCCATTAGTTTGGTTTTGATACAGTTTGTATTGTGGAGGGGTAAAGTGGGTTTACTTTGGTGTTATATTTCCATTTGACTTAAAGTGGCATTAAATCCATAACTACAAATGTAACATATTGCAGCTTACTAATCATTAAATGGGGTGGCAGCATTAATTTCTTTTTAGGCTTTTTCCTCTCTGTTTTCACCTGGTGATCTGGCCAGTAATGCACCACCTGTATTAGAATGCCCCACTCTGGGTAAAGGAGCACAGGGGGGCACAGCAAACAGCAGCATTATTAATCTGGGGGGGAAGGGAGTGTTAGATGAACTAGCAGATTTAGATACACTAAACAAATTGAAGCTAAACTCTAGTTAACACTATATAAGCAGTTACGGCAAGCAGTTTTTTCCTTTTCAGATAAAGGTTTTTCATAAATAAATTAAAGTTGATCATTGCAAGCACCCCTGTCAGTAGTAAATGGTTTGTCTCAACCCTGTAACTGCTATATCAGCAGGCCACTTGTTCTGTTGAAAACAGACTTACTGGCTGGATTGCCAGGTGAAAATATAAGAAAGAAAACCTGAAAGAGAAAAATAATGCAGCCACCACATCTATGTATTGATAAGTTGCAATAAAATAAATGTTTGCAGGTTTAATACTGCTTTAATATTCACCTATCCACATTTTTTTATAGTTTTGTATAGAGTGGGAAAGAGTTAATACATCTGTAATTAGGATGTGATCGCTGTGATTGCTGAATAAAGCTTTGGAGATCTTGGTGTGCTGGTGACATTTCTCATGTGAACGTCTTCAGTTTCCAGCCAGTGGTTGCTGCAGCACCCACTTACATTTCCAGCCATTATCAGGAACGTGTATGGGGGGGAATATTGTGCTTGGACTTGTGGCCAGGGTCCTATCGTCAATGAGGTCAAATGCCTCATGACGCACTCATGGAGACATAGTGGGGGGGGGGGGGGGGCAGCACTAAAGCTGGAATGTCCATACCAGATACTCCGTCTTCAGTACATGTTCAGCCCTGGGTATGTTCAGCCCCTGGGATGCATAGTGTCATTAGGGGTTGTGGCACAGGCCTGGCTACCAGCATTGTAGCAACCAATGACACCGAGTATCCTGGCAGCCAGCATCCTAGCAACCAAAGACCAGGGGAAGGGAAAGCTGAGGGGCAGCAAAAATGACCCTGCAAGTGACCATCCAGAAGGTATTTTATAATCTGAAAGATGTACCTCATAAGATTATTTGGGCTGTGTACAACTGTTGTCTTCTGTGGATATCTGTGGTAGGCAGGCAGGATTAGTACAACGTGGGTGGAAGCATTGAGCACTACTGCAATGGAATTAGCAAGTTCTATCGTTAAAGTGGAGTTCCAGCTGAAAAAAATTAAATAAAAGTCAGTCAGCTGCTGACTTAAAATACAGACCCTTACCTGTGCCTTGGTCCTGTGGTGTCCTCACAACTGCTGGTTTCACCGGCTGTCTTCTCTCCCTGGCGCTGGCATCTTTAGTGTGGGCACCCAGCTGTGACAGCTTGAGGCTTGACAGCCGGGTGCCCGCTGCGCATGCACAAGAAGTGCTGTGGTTTGTGAATGGCCCCATAGTCTTCTGGGACCTGTCAAGTGCCCCAGAAGACTACGGGGAAGGGGGGGGGGGGGGGAAAGGAGGACAACTTCCGCTTCCGATCGCCTAGGTGATCGCAGCGGAAGTGGGAACGGGTACCTGTCACGGAGGCAGCAAGACATCATGCTGATCCCAGAAACTGCCGGGAGGCCATCTTGCTGCTCACTGCACTGATGCCTACTGTTTATCTATGGTGGACCTTTCAGCAATCCCAAATCACTGCATGGCCGCATAACCTTCCCTATGATATCCAAAACTTAAAAATAATTTTTGGCTGGAGTTACACCTAAACAATTTACCTGTTCCAACTTACATACAAATTCAACGGCTACAAAAACTGTAGCCGCTGACATTTAAAATACAGTCACTTACCTGTCCCTCGGTCCAGCTGTGTCCTCACCACGGCTGGTTTCACCGGCCGTCTTCTCTCCCTGGCGCCGGCATCTTCATTGTGGGCACCCAGCTATGACAGCTTGCGGTTTCACAGCCAGGTGCCCGTGCCCACTGCGCATGCACGAGCAGTGCTGCACTTTGTGAATGGCCCCTTAGTCTTCGTGGACCTGTCACGTGTCCCAGAAGACTACGGGGAGGGGGGGGGGCACAACTTCCGCTTCCGATCGCCTAGGCGATCGCAGCGGAAGTGGGAGCGGGTACCTGTCACATTCGTGTACCCGATCCCCAAAGGTGCCAATCCTTAATGGGGAGCGGGGGACAAAGGCTTAAAGCGGAACTTTCCCTTTTGGGTGGAGCTACGCTTTAAGAACAAACCTACAGAATCTTGTTCATAACCCCGGGGCTAACTACACACATATTCCAGGAATGAGCAAAAAAACTTGTGGAAATGGTAAGGTAGGTAATGTTTTTTATAATAACCGCTAAACTAATCCATGTTTTTATGTTGAAGTACATATGCATGACAAATTGCTTGACACAATCTCAGACAAAATCTCTAATGTATTACTACTTGCATCATGTAAAAGGTTAATATCACAATCATGCATTTTCAAGGGAACGGGGGGGCTGAGAAGGGGTCTTGAATCATGATGTGTCTAGTAGTGTCATACCACCCTTGTCAGTAACATAAAGGACAGGCAGACAGTCTGTCTCGCAGATCCTAATTTTGCTTAAGGTTTAGGATCCATAAAACTACCTCAGTGTCATCCCGTCTCCTTTGCACACATTATTATTCATATGTAGATATTTTACTGCTACATTCAAGAGAAAAAAAAAAGACTATTTATTGTTTTTTTACTTCCCCACAATCTTTAAGAAGCAATTTATGGCACCATGACACTATGAAGAACAAACCTACTCTTTACACTTCAGTACAACTTTTGTGCAGTTTCTTAAAGAGAAAGTTGAAAGCAATTTTAAAAAAATCTAAAATGTTACATTTGAAGCCTGTGATTTGGTAGCTGTGCATTGCTTTAAGGGCATCTATATCTAGCAATACACCCCTTATAAACAAGAATAAGATCCCACTCCCACTGTTGTTTTATAATATCATAATATAGGATTGTCCCAGCAGGATAAACTACATAAATCTGGAAATGAAGATCCCAGTTTAAGAAAAACCTGGGAGTTGAAGCAGCCAAGGGCTTCCTGTTACAACATGAATTATTGGACTAATTCGGCTAGAGCAATTTTTTTTTCATGTAAAAATCTTAATTTTTGTCAAAAAATTACTTAACCCCCAGAATATTTTATATTTTCTAAAAGCTGAGGTTCTTTTATCTATTTATTTTTACCTTATTGCTATCTTAAAGGGCTAATAAACCCCCATATGCTAGCATTGGGCAGGTAACAGGTATTGTTTATGGAGACATCAGGAGTCTAATTGACCCCAATGTCTCCTCTGCCCTTCACAGCATCTAAGTAAGTATAGATCTGCTCAGTTAGATGTGTCCCCCGGTTGTACAAGTCAGGAAATGGTGGATCTGAAAGCAGAAGTGATTAAGGTGTTACTAAACCCAGCAGAAAAAGACCGAGCAGTCCAGTTAGTTTACCCTTTTTTGTGTGTGTGGTTTTTTTTTTTGGGGGGGGGGGGTTTTTTGGGAGGTTTTTGGTTTTGTATTTTGTGGGTTTTTTTGGTTAACTTTTTTTGTCTAAGTGTAGATCTATGCATGTCCTAAGCATGTTTGAAGTTATTTACTGTTGACAGGCTCACTACCTTTGCTGGAAGTTTATTCCATGCATCAAGTACTGTAACCCATAATCCTGCATTCTCCTGGAGTCCCACAGTACACAGAACATGGAAATTGTTTTATTAAATATAAACTGCTAAATACCTTTCCTTGCCATATCATATATTATATAGCAGTCTTGTGACTTTGAGGAGGAGTTTTCATTCTCCTCTGACTGTCCTATGAGGCTGCATAACCCCTGACCCTCTGTCTGCACAGCACTGATTGGCCCTGTGCCAATCACATGCACCCTCCCAAGAAAAAACAAAAAACCTCTCCAGCAATACACACCAAACTGAGCATGTGCAGCTTGACCCCAAGGCTCTGTTCTATCAGCAGATGGATTAGGGACAGTAGAAGATGAGGAGGAACAGAAAAAACAGAATCAAGCAGCCCTTTTACACAATGCTGAGGATTAACCCCTTAGGTTCCACAGTGAGTATAACAAGCATGCTATATTTGGTAACACTTTAAATCATTATCGCTTAATTTCATTGTTTTTAGAGGAGATCAAGCATGGATGAGCCTTTGTCATCCTGAAGCTGACAGTTTTGGTTCCGGGATCCCAGTAAGAGCGGGATAGCGCAGGAACCACAGGCAGGGCAGCACACCACCAGCTCTGTAAAAGTGATCAGCAGCTATGGAGATGCTGCATCACTTTCCCTTTGAAGCTAGGAGTCGGCTAAAGAAAACCCCGCTACTGCAGCCTTCAGCTTGTGATTAGCAGTTCACTCTTTGGGGCTGAACTGGTTAATTTGAATACTACTTCAAAAACTCGCTTGCCACATATAAAAGGTGCAATGAAGTGCCAGAGTGAAAAAAATTGTAAACAAAAAGATTTTTTCCTCCATTTTTGATTGTGGAGTGTATTTGTGCGTGTGTGTGTGTGTGGGGGGGAGAGTATAGGGACGCCTAGCACATCAATTTACAGTTGTGAAAATGTGGAGTACGCTGCCTCAAGAGCTAGTTCTGAACAGCTCAGTAGATAAAGAGCTGGATGCATTCCTAAATGCCCAAAATATAACTGGATAGTAATATTTATAGGTAATAACATCAGGGGTACTTTATCCAGGGAATATCCAATTGCCTTCTGGATCAGGAAGGAATGTTTTCCCCTGTTGGTATAGGATTGTGTATATGGGTTTTTTCTATTTATTATTTTTTTTTCAATTGGTTGAAAAAGATGGACTTGTGTCTTTTTTTCAAGGTAGTTCTTCAAAATGGGAATATAGCACTGTCTATATTTGTGTCGTTCTTCACTTTAAAACAGTAAAAAACAAAGAACAAACTTCTTACTAATCCAGTACATTCAATCAGATTCTGGTAGTCAAAACTGAAACAAAAACAATGCCATGCACACAACTGACAATATGGTCACTGTTTTATAATAGTTTATAATAGAGTTTCAATTTACTTTTGTATAGTAATGTCTTCTCAAAATACTGCAAAGATTTCTCCATGCTATACACATGTTCCATTCTGTTTGTAAGTAATGGAAATGGAACATTTCTGACCAAGCCTGTGTAAGGCTTTGAACGCTCCATGGTGTCATCATTATAAAATTTGAAAACACTTTTTTGAGGTCAAACTATGGGTAAATATAGAAGCACATTCCAGTACTAAGTATTTTAGGATCCAAAACAAAAACATTTTCTAATTAATTTATGAATGGAGAAAATACATGTTAGGGCTCTTGCACATGGGTGGCTGAGCTCATGCAGCCCAACTGCAGCCATATTTCCTCCTCCTAGGGAGCCCAGCTGCAGTATACAGCCTGTCATTGGCATTAACCGCTTCCCGACTGCCTTATAGCAGAAATACTGCTACAGGGCGGCATGGGTGCGCCGTATATACACATCATTTTGCATGTCTGAATAGGGGGCGCACACAAGGTGCGCGCACCCTACTAGCGCTGCCGTTCACAGCTGCAGCTGTCAATCACGTTGGCGCCCGGTGATTTCTGAGGATCTCCGACGGGAGTACTGTTGGTAAACAAAACAGTTCTCCTCCCTGCCAGCTCATACACACTGCTTTGGATGGCTGTGCACAGCACAGCTATCCAAAGCAGTGTGATTACAGTGAAGCACACGGACAAAGCACAGTGTAAAACAACACACAGTTAATCCTTTGATCGCCCTCATGTTAACCCCTTCCTGCCCAGTGCCATTAGTACAGTGCCAGTGCTTTTTTTTTAGCACTGATCACCATATTGGTGTCACTGGGAATGTCGCTGATCGCCGCCATTACTAGTAAAAATATGAACCCAGTGGTGATCAAATACCAACAAAAGAAAGCTGTATTTGTGGGGAAAAGAGGACATAACTTTAATTTATATACAGTGTTGCATGACTACGCAATTGTCAGTTAAAGTAACACAGTGCCATATCACAAAAAATGGCTTGGTCATGTCTAAAAAAGCCAAAATCCTTTTTCTTAGTTTTAGATAATGTAGAAAATGAATAAAGCCCATGTTAGGATTTTATTGCTGTATACATCCTCACTGGGGGGATTAATATTGGGTGACAATTCATTTGGAATTTCCTCTTACTTTTTCAGGGGTTTACCCTTCACTACCTATTATGCCTCTGGGACAGAAAGTGGACACCAGTCTCCCCAGCAAGACACAGGCAGCAAAAAGAAAAAACATGGCAGGAGGTTTTACCAATCCTCTACTCTAAATAAAAAAGTTTTGCCTTCAGAACTTTAACCTAACCCATAAACTCAACCATTAAACCTAACCACTAAACTAACCTTTATTCTTAACCAAACAAAATCATTTTTAAATTAACTTTATTCCTGTTAAAAGGTAATTCTAAACTCTCAAACTGAATAATCATGAACCTAACCGTTTATTCCAAAAATTCTTAGCAAGAACAGACAATGTTCTAAATCCTGTAAACAAAAGTTCAGCCCACAAATTATCCCACCAAAAACCACTGATTCAAACTAGGATAGTATCGAATATAAATTATTATAGGTACACAGCAGCTTTTAAATGTATTACTAGTAACTAGTAAGCTGCAACATCCTTTAAGGCAACAATCTAGAGGTTCATCAAAAATATGGTCCAACCCACTAAAAATGTTATTAAATATTTCTAGGTTTGTCTCACCTACAGGAAGAAGCTGCTCCAGGGATCCACTAGAGAAGGTTCCGGTGTGAGACAGGAGACAAAGCTGAAGCGGCAACCCAACTCCTGTCTTACCCAGAGTTTCGTCTTGTGGTTCCAGGGAGAAGCTTCCAAAAATGTGGTCCAACCCACTAAAATATTATTAAATGTTTCTATGTGCGCCTCACCTACAGGAAGAAGCTGCTCCATGGAGCCACTAGAGAAGGTTCTGGTGTGAGACAGGAGACAAAGCTGAAGAGGCAACCAAACTCCTGTCTTACCCAGAGTTTCGTCTTGTGGTTCCAGGGAGAAGTTTCCAAAAATATCGTCCAACCCATTAAAAAATTATTAAATGTTTCTATGTGCGCCTCACCTACAGGAAGAAGCTGCTCCAGGGAGCCACTAGAGAAGGTTCCGGTGTG